ATTGAATAAATGACCTTATATATATACATATACATATACATATTTTAAGCGCTTTATAATTATTTTTCTAGTAATATAATTATATAAAAAGAATAATGTATTATTGAGCTCTTTTTATTTTGAATATATTTTATATTATTTTTTCAGAAATAAAAATATTAATGTACTTGCGGTTTGCTGTCTTGATACAGCAGCATCAAATTGGGTTTATGATTGCAATGAAATAAATATATGAACTACTCACTAACATTGGTCTTTTATATTGACTGTATAATAATTGTTAGCACTGATAACAAATGTTTCTGATATCTTCTTAACTGCTCATCTCAAAGTGGTCATTCCTGCTAGCTGCTACTTGATCACGACAGACGAATGACACCCAAGACTGTCGGTATGGAATAGGAATATATCCGATATTTAATGTATTTTTGAGATTTATGTTCAGTAAGTGCTTCTATCTTTCGGACTTATTTTTAACTGATATCCATATCTCTATCGTAAACTTCAATCACTGTTAAACATCGCCTGATCTGTTGTCCACTATGATGTGCCTGCCAAGTAATTGGTTTGCTCCATCCGGTTTAAATCCTGTCCACACCTTATTGCTCGATTATGGCCTATTATATTCACTCTGAATACAAATAGTTACAATCAATTACAAGTTTAACTATGCGATACTTGATTCATGTATCAATATATATATATATATATATATATATATATAAATATTTATATATATATATGTATATGTATATAGATTATATGGAGGTGTGGACGATACAATAATGGTTTTATTTAGACACAATATCTTTTTCGACAAATTTATTAAAATTAAATTACTGTTTTGGGCTAAATTACTTTTTGTAGATAGAACGGTAGGGTTTAGCTAAATTTTCCGATATCTTTGTTTTATGACACTAATAATATAATACACAATGTATTAAAATTACAATACCTTCGCCAAAGACTGACTCACAACGTTGATGACTAATACTTTGTAATTAACCCTTTTAAATGAATAAGATGTGCCTTAATTTCTTCATTCGCTGGACTATAGATAAAAATATAGTAAGTGAAATATTGCCGTTGCTAATAAATAAAGAAATTGATGTTTTAAGATGATCATTGTTAATTTGTATATTTCTAAAAAGTTTGTAGTAAATAAAAGTTGCGAGAGAAAAAAATGCGTGCATCACACCTAATTGTTATTTTTTAATTTTGTTACATAACGAATTTTCAAAACACCGTATAAAAATGAGGATAAAAACATAATCAATGCCTTCGAAAATGAAATAACAGACGAATGTTTTAAACACACTTGACAGATTTTCTTTCAATAAATTCTATTTCAGATTTAATAAAAAGCGATTTTGAGTGTCTCGTAACAGTCCAGTCATTTGGTGAATGGAAAGTAGTCGATCCAGGAAAAAATTGCTGAAAAATTTTTCTCAGCCAAGAATTCTTCACCAAAAAAATTGCAAAAAAACATAAAGTTTCGGAAGCTGTTTCAGTTTTTCGATTATAACTCCGAAACAACACATCCTAGAGAAAAATCAGTTGCATCAAAAAGAAATCTGATAAAATTTTCTAAAAAATAAATGTAGAATAAGATCACTGTTTTTTTGTTTAGCCGCTAAAGCGCGCTAAAGATTGACGACGTCAAAATCATCAATTAGGCAAGTCGGATGGCATTTGGGTTTCTCTCATGTTATCGTATATTTATGTTTTTTGAGATGATGAATCTGAATTTTATGTCACCCAACGAAATTTTACATTGCGTTCCGAAATACGAGTATATGCGAAATTCCAGAATTTTTTTTAGAATTTTGAACATGACCCCGAAAATATCTATTTTATCGAAATTATTGGTATGTGAAAAGTTAAAGAAGATAAAATCTAAAATCATTATTTTGCATAGCTTTTTGATGTAAGATTAACGGTTAAGGAATTATATGTTGACTGCTTATTTTACAAGAAATATCAGTTTTCGTTGGTTTTCCCCCAAAACGCATATGGATCTCTCGAAGAATTTGAAAGAGCATCAAATTCCCTATATACCTCATGTAGACATGTTAATATGTGAGAGGGCTGTTAAAGCTCACGGAATTGAAGGCGTACTTCACACGTAATACGAGTAATCTGCCCCACTCAACTTAAGCCCTTTTTATCTTTTCAATGTTTTTGATTCTGCCAATTCACTATGTTTATAACAGTACAGAATGCATAAGCAAATTAAATTGCTTTTATATATACTGTTACTATAACAGACATTGAAATTCATAATAATCAAAATATTAATGACCGAAATATGCTTTAAAGTCCATAGCGATCTGCTTATAGCTTTCCTTTTGATGTAACTGATTTTTCTCTAGAATGTGTTGTTTCGAAGTTATAAGTGAACAACTTCTGAAATCGTATGTTTGTTTGTCATTTTTATGGTGAAGCCATATTCGAATATACTCGATAACTTGATTTGTATATTCAGCACCCCAAAAAATATAGAGAGCCGTTGAGGAAAATTCTTTTTTCTGTTCAAACTACTAAATGAATGGACTGTGAAGACAGTGTGTCGGAAAGTAATCTGGGATTGTTCAACTATTGGTCATAACCTTTGCCATAAGAATTATTAAACACTTGGGGCCGATAACCACAAACTGTAATGGAACTTTGATTAAACAACACACTCACTTTTAAACCACACATACTCAGTTATGAAACATACGTTACATATGAAGATATAATTACCTTCCTTCAATTGAGTTGATGTTCCTTGGAATAATGAAAACAAATAACTTAATTATTACCCGCCACCACGTATATATTCATATAGCTTTACCCGGCCACGCGCTCCTGTGGCTTAGCCAGGCAAAATGAAAAAGAAAGAAAATAGAAAGCACATATGAGTAGATTAGTAGCAAAGGACATCTGTCATTTTTAAAAAGTTGGGAAACAAATTTGTCTGTAAAATGGCTTCAATTTAAACTAATTCTAATGTTTTTTTTTCTCATGATTCAAATTGAACATTCATAATCATCTGAGTGAATACGCCGTCATTCATAATCATCAGAAACAGTCTGAGTTGAACTTATAAAACTAAATAAAAAATTAATATAAAAAACGTATAATAGTATTGACCTACATAAGGAGAATCATATAACTTCTTCAAATGATAATTTCAATTACTGTAGTAATTATAAAATTTTCGATTAATCAATAAAAAAAAAAAATGCTTGCCGACGTTCGGTAGTGAGGAAGCAAAAGGAAACGGCCTTTTCTGAAGAGAAAGCAGTAAATGTTTAAAACTCAATAACTCTGCAACGAACCGTCCGATTTCGATGATTTTTTTTTTATTTTGTCAGCAATTCAGAAATCTTTCAAATAAATGTGGGTATTATCAGTCAAAATTGTGTACTTTTTTAGTTATCGTCAAATAAAATATTGAATTCATCGTAACATTTTTCAGCTTGTTTTCGGGAAAGTATGTTATACACATAAATTAAAAGGGTTTCAAGGGGAAGACTTTAGCCAAGTTTCGTTAAAATCGGTAAAGCCGTTTTGGCGCTACAGTTTATAGCGACACATTTTTTGCGGCTTTGAACAGAAAAACATTTACATTTTTATTTTTTTTACATATATAAAATTATCGTAAGACAGAAGTACTATGCCAGAAACCTTCCCAGGAGTGTACGGAACAACTTCCCAAAGTTTCATGGCGATCGGTTGAATGGTTTAATGCACTAAGGACAATAAGACGGACGGACAGACATACATTCATTTTAATATGTATAGATTAGATGTATATTTATTATAAATTGATAATCAGCAATTGATGATGTGGTAGGGAATTAAGAAAATATAATCAATTATGAAGGGATGAGATATATTTTTTTTTTGTTAGATAAGGGTAATTATTGAAGTTATTTATACCGGATATGAAGACTTCCTTTTTATTTTTGGTTTATTATTTTCAATAGTCAACCTTTGTAATCTAACAAGAAAAAAAAAGTTAACTCCCCTCAAAATTGGAGATTTTACGTTTCAAGAATCCGAAAATTAAATTTAAAAAAATCATCTGTCCGCCATACGCCAGTGGGGGCAAAAGCAGAAAAAAATCCTAAATGTGAAATTAAGTTTTAAGAAACTTGTTTAATGGGTTCCGGTCCTTGAATGGTTGAAAAATGTGATTTTCCTATAATTGTTCCGAAAAAATATGTTTAGGCCCCTGCAGAGGGGTCTAAAAATTACCTGTTATAGCTATTGTTGCCCAAATTCAAAGCCATCAAACTTGCTAGGCCAAGACCAGGACTGGTAAAAAATCGATTTTTTAAATAAAAATAAGGCAAAATAGTTATTAATACTTGACAATCTTAGTTACTATATGTTAACAATTGGTATGACCAATATACTTTTGCATTTAAATTCTCTAATTTTTCATTCGGGCTTAGTTAGGTTTCTCCTATCTAAAAAATTACAGTAATTTCTCTATATAAGTAAGCTAATAAGTAACTGCAAGACTGTTGCGAGATTCTTGCGCAAGACCAAGACTGATTTTGCAAGACCAAGACACGCCTCGGTCTCGGATTTGAGCAATACTAGTTGTAGCTTATCGAAAATTGTTCAATTCAAGCTTAAAGTTCGTTTTTCTGGTGTACATTTATAAATTGATTACCCTTTACGAACATAATTGGGTCGTGATCGTAGCTGAACCGTATTAAGAATAATCTGTAATGAGACAAAATTGTATTTTTTGTTGTTGTTTTTACCTACAAAAAAATCAAATCCGAAAACTTGCTCAGTAAGTTATTAAACGTGGCTTGGTACGGATGATTCCACAAATTAATCTATATTTAGATGAGAGGGATAGTTGGCATAAAGAAAAATCTGGTATATGTTGGATTTTTTACTTTGATGTTTCCTTGAAGCTCAGGATATCACAAAAAGATATACAAAAAACAATAAAAAAATATATATATAACATCTAAGTGGTGTTCAAAGTTCATCTTCATACGTCAACTGAAGTCAGCATGAAATTAAGACAAAACATGAAAATTGTGGGAAATCAGCCCCGCTCATTTTAAAAATAATTCTAACCAGATAGTCACAAATAAACTTCCAATTATTGATTTTATTAGAATGACCCCAACTTATAAACCAGAACAGTTTTAGAATAAATATTTTTATAGGAGGGTAACTATTAAAGTGATTTTAAAATTATCTTTTATATATTTACATGTTGTACAGTCAAGGAATGCTCAAAATGGAGTCTATTGGCTTAAGTGAATTAAGTGTACAGTGATTAATTAAGTGTATACCTATAGTGAAATCAACTGGCTAGAATTAAGTTCAAAATTAATAAATTATAAAGCATTGAATTTCCAGCAAGAATGTTTTTATTACTTTTTCTATGCTATAGTTTTAGCACAATATCGAAACAATACACTCGACTATCAAATAATCATATTCAATATCTAGAATATAATAAATGTTAAAACAAATCGATACCTGTGAGAGGGATAAAATTCTCCCGATTTTTACATATATTTTTTTAACTTTTCTTTTTTTGTATTTGTTATTTTTATAGTCTACACCTGAAGACCTACTGTAACTTCAATTTTCCTCTACGTTGGCTGGACTAAAAGATGGCTGCAGCAGTCCAGATGGTAAAGTCGTGTCATACGTGAAAAGGGGCTTTAAATCGTATGTAAAATTATCAGGTTGTCTTTTTGACCGTAAACATTCTTCCAATGAAATAATATAATCGTTTCTACTAACATTTATTTATTTTATTTTATTTTGTATGTATATAAGAACAGTAATTTATGCCAACAATAAATTCTGTACACACGAAAATACGTTCACAAATAAATATAAATTTTGTGATGAATTAATGTAAATTCGTTGCAGAGTAAGAAAGGAAAATGGATCAAGAATTCAGAAGGAATTATAACAATATTGGAAACAGTTTTAAGCAGTTGCTATCGTTGAAATCATCAGTGGAAGGTCGGTTGTATTGATCAGGAGAGTTCCATTATTCGAAGTATCGGGAGTTGAATTCGAAGTTGGTTTACCAAATTGGATGAGAATGACGAGATAAGTGGTGGCTGCTGCTATCATCTGGAAATAGAAGTTCACTCATTTAAGTAGTGTTTCTAGAATATATTTTATTTATATATGTGTGTATAAATATATTATTTAGATATCTACATTAATTTAATTAAAAGAATTGTTATTCCATTTATTGTTAAAGGAAATTAATGCTACGTTAATTGTCCATTATTTGTCATATTTTCTACAACTTTGGGTCATCACGAAGAAGCAATTTTCAAACTATTAGTGAATTTGATAAGAGAAGCAGAGCAAATTGGCCTACTAGTAAATAAAGATAAACCGAAATAACAGGGTCTTCGTGGATGCTGTCAATTCCGAATGCAGACTGATTCAAAGTTGAGTCCGCAATGAACTTAATAAATTATCATCTTAGATAAATTTGAGTATAACAATATTAAGCAGAAATTCCAGAAATTTTGAATTAAGGGCTTATTATCAGTAAGATAAAGCAAGTTCTATTATATGTCTGTGACATCTGGGCTCTACCAGAGAGAAAGCAGAATCAAAAGAAATATCCTTTCGTACGATAACTGAATCTACCTGGGATCAGAATCTTATCGCATTAAGGATCAGGAACAATAAATAAATACTTACATAAAATGGTAAGCGAATATCTCAGGATATGAAGGCAAGGACGAATAGATGGGGGAGGGGAGGAGGGAGTATGTAATTCGAAGCGATCTATCAGGAAGCTTGTAAAAAACAATGAATGCAGCATTAGCTGGGCAACATGGGGGGCTTAAAAACAGATTCATTCATTATTGGCGCAAAAGACGCATGTAGCGGTCTTGGCATGCTCAAGTCTTATTTTACTTTTTCTATCCATCTTGAATTCGGTCTTCCCCAAGACCTAACTCTCTCTGACTTCCCATGATAAAACCTTCTTGCTGTCCTCGCTTCATCCATTCTCCGGACACCATTTCATTCGTTCATCTAACCATTTCATTCGCTGCATTAGAGCGAATTGGGAGATGCACAGATCACCGTATATTGAGTATACCTCCTTGTTTCTTCTGAAGCAGGGAATTCCTTCTTTTAGTTAAGGTCCTATTATCCATCTTAGTATTTTTCTTTCAAACAGATCTATTCGTTCAGCAGATGCCTTTGTTAGAGGCCATGTTTCGTATGCATATGTTGCAACTGGCCGAATAATCGTTCTGTATATCCTAAACTTCGTTGAACGATTTAACAATCTACTTTCCAGAAGGCTCGCTAGAGAAAAGTACGCTCTGTTGGCAGCCATTATTCTATATAATATCTCCTCCTCTTCGTTATTGCTATTGTAATTATAGACCCGAGGTAGGTGAAGCTTGATACAGCTTGAAAAGTATGGCTTCCCAAGATATCGTGCTGTGGTGGATGGACAAGCATTTTCTTCTTTAAAACAAGGACCTTGGTCTTGCTCGATGCATAGCCCCATTTTCCCTGCCTCATTCTCCAACCTACTGAATACACTCTTCACTGCTTGAAGTGATCGCCCTACAATAACCACATCGTCAGCATACGCTAGCAGTTGGGTCATTCTGTGGAATATGGTTCCTCCGTTATTTAATCTCGCCCTTCTCATGATGGTCTCTAGGGTACATTAATGAGTACTGGGGCTAATGAGTCACCTTTCCTGAGGCCCGAACAAACTGCAAAGGTGTCGCCAATTCTTCCTTTTACGTTTACTTTACTGATGATGCCTTCCATGGTAGCCATCGTTAAACGAATCAGCTTTGTTGGTATGCCCAATTCATACATTGCATAACAAAGCTCCTCTCTAACCACTGTGTCATATGCCATCTTAAAATCAATAAAGAGCATCCGCATGGAGTTATTATACTCTTTCATTTTTTCCATGATCTGTCTAAGGACAAAAATTTGATAGATCGTTGATCGATTTGTCCTGAAACCACCCTGGTAATCTCCAAGCTGTCTCTCCACGTGTGGCATAATGCGATTGTACAGACCAATAGAGAATACCTTATAAGCAGAATTAAATAAGCCGACACCTCTGTAATTTCTCACTCACTTACATCACAGTCACTTACATCTCCTTTTCTCTTATAAATTGGATCAGTTAGGAGCTCTTTCCATTCTTCCGGCTTTTTTTTATTTCCCAAATATTTGCTACTAATTTAGTAATTTCTTCTGAAAGGCGATTCTCCCCTTGTTAGAGAAATTCTCCAGGCATTCTGTCTGATCCTGCTGACTTAGATTATTATTCCTTAGCTTTTCCAAAATATTTTCGATGTCGTCAGAATCAGGTGGCATGACTTCATCGATATCTTCTTCTCTTATTGATTGCATGCTTCCGTGAGTTCCTATTTCTCCATCTGTAGGGTTGAGTAACTCCTGTAACTCATTCTCCACAACAATTAGCTTTCCATTCTTATCTCTTACCATACCTGACTCATTAACAGAACCAACTTTGGCGCAATTCACGCCCTGAAAGAACTTTTTTGTTTCATTCCTAAGCCTTGCTTCTTCGATGTTTTTAACGTTTTCCTGAAAGGATTTTCTTTTTTTATGTCTCAGCACTTTCTTAGAATGGCTCCTTACTTCTTGGTACTCTCTGCAATTCTGAAGAGTGTCTCTGTTCAGGTATTTTGCTCCCTTAATATTCCTGATTTTTATCCAGATATAAATCCAGGTGGGTAGGTTTAATCAACAAACACGGTATAGAACTTCATGCCACAAACACGAAAGCAGTAACTCAATGTAGGCAGAGAAGAATAAGGCTAGTTGAGGCGGCCAAAAATCTAAAACGTCTGTAAAGGCAACTTAGAAAAAAAACCAATTAAACTGGTAAAAAAATAAATTGAGAAATAATGCACTTACCGAATGAACTAAAGTGTAATCAAGTGTAAAAAATCCACAAGCAGTGAAAACCACATCTCTCTTCATGGCGATATGAAGGCGAAGCTTTTTCTGAAATTATATTTTTCTGTTCAAACATTGAAAACATATTATAAAAACTAAACCATCTTTTATAGAGATAAGGACGTTTTCCCCCGTTAATATTTGTAAATTGTATAAATTTGGAGTTCACATAACATAAATAAATTGAGCGCTGAATAAAACGGCTAAGTATATATATACACACTTAAACCATAGCTCCTGGTCCTCCATATTGGGGATTGGGCATAGGGCTAATAACTCTATCCCGAAAATAAACAACTTATTACGAAACCAAAACTAAGTCTCGAAAATCGGACTGCCTAAATATGGTGGTAACGACCTCGGATTTAAACCTTGGACTATAAATTGGATCTTGGAACGTAAGTAGTTTATACAGACCAGGAACCGCCAAAATGGTAATCAAGGAACTAAAAAGATATAACGTACAGGTAACAGCCATTCAAGAGGTAAGGTGGCCAGATGGTGGTGAAACCATTATAGAAGGCCACACACTATTCTATTCCCAGAGAAACCACAAAAATGTGACAGCCGGCATGGGATTTAGAGTTAGTCCAACGGCAAGGAATCAATCGTAAATTCACTCCAATAAACGAAAGAACTAGTGCATTACGAGTTAAAGATCGTTGGTTAATAGCACGATAATTAATGTGTATGCAACAACCAAAGATAAAGATGAAGAGGTGAATGATGATGTCTACGATCAGTTATAAAAAATATTATAGACCAAGCTCATAGGCATGACATAAAATTATTCATAGGTGACTTTAATGCAAAGATAGGAAGCGAACTCCAATTCAGGCCCATTATCGAAGGCCAAAGTCTTCACGAAAATAGCAATGACTATGAAGTGAGATGTATCAGTCTGGCAGCAGCTAAAGGTCTAGTCGTACAATGTTCCTACACACGGATATCCACAAGTACACCTGGGTTAGCCCTAAAGGAGCGAAAAACCAAATTGACCATGTGCTGGGTAGACAAGAGACATCAGAGCTCAATACAAGACGTAAGAAGCTATCGTGGAACAGAATGTGATTCATATCACTCTCTGATTAGAATTAATGGTGGACCAACACTAGGAGGAAATAAAGAAAGATCTATAAAAAAAGTTAAGGAAGTGATCGGTATTCAGGAGAAACGAAAAGCTAAGATATAGTTCACAGAAGCATGCGAAAGTAGAGGAAAGCAGAAACATGAAAGTCCTCTGCCTAACTACAACTGGTCAAGTTGCTCGGGACAAGTAAATGGTTGTCAAGAAAAAGGCAAATGAAATTATAAGATCGGCAAAAGGGGAATTCCTCAATTTGAATTCCTAAGAAAGGTTGCAAACCATTGAGGATAACTGGCAGGCTGGAGATATACGCGAATTATACACAGACATTAGAAGAAAAAGGGTAGGAAATAAAGCTAGAAATACGTCCTTGGAAGTAATCGAGAAGGCATTGAGAAACTCGCTACAACACTGATAAGAGAAGCAGAGCAGATCGGCCTAAAAGTAAATGAAGACAAAACAAAATAAATAATAATAAGCAAAAAATTCCACCCCAATAACAGGATATGCGTAAAAGTAAAATCTTTCCCGAGAGTAGAAAAACTCAAATACCTCGCCTCCACAATAATCTCAATGAATGAACAGCGAGCAGAAATATGCAGCATATAATTAGCGCAAACACAGCTTTCTTCACAAACTTGGGGTGTACAATACTATGGCAAAGCCAATTCTAGCATATGGCTGTGAGACGTGGACACTGACCAGCACCCTACAAAAAAAGTGTTGAAAGATTTGAGAGGAAAATCCTCCGTACGATAACCGGAGCGATCTGGAATCAGAGTACTAACACAAGGAGAAGAACAGAAACTGGTCATTCAATATTCCATGATATGCAGGCACGGAGGTTATGATGGACGGGGCATGTAACCCACAGCTATCCATCTGGCAGCCACTACGTAACAATGAATGCCTCAATAGAAGACCAGGTGGAAGGCCGAAAAGCAGATGGACAGATATAATCAACAAAGATACAACAGAGCTGCGTGCAGATAAATGGAAAGAAATAGCCCAAGACAGGCAGAGATGGAGTTCAAATTTAATACTCAAAGGTCGATTAAAGAAAAGTTGTAAATATATATATATATATATATATATATATATATATATATATATATATATATATATATATATATATATATATATATATATTTACAAGACTGCATTCGTTTTATTGCTACTGTGGTTGTGGTTTAATTTTTTTTATATAAAAAAAAAATTATTATGGGTTAAAATTCGCAAATGATAATCACAATGCTCAGTTATAATTATTCTTATATATTAATTTTTTGCGAATTAATTCAATTTTCAAATTATGTTCATGAGTAAAGGGAAATCGACATTCGTTGTTTGGTCAACCTGGAGTAGATTAGGCGGTAAGCCAACTAAAGGGCCGCATAATATTTTCCCCGGAAAAGTTAAAAAACCCAATTACATATCTGCTTATATTAGAAATAAACTACTTTATTTGAAATGTTAAAAATGACTTTGTTTACGTACATCATTTGATATATCATTGAATTTATCATCTATCATGAGCTGGAACAGTTGTGTGTTAAATTCTTTTGCCTGAAATGTAAGGAAATAGTATTTAAAATTTTATTAATATCATACATAATTGGCTTATGGTTAATATTATAAAATATCATCTTATCATCTTATTGAAGTGTCATATATGTATGTATGTATGTTTGTATGTATGTATATGTATATGTATATAATATAACTTTAGCTTTACTTTAAATTTGATAAATGCCTAGGGAGCGTGCGCTCTTATACCCAGTCAGAGTTCCGCATGTGCCCACTGGTCCATTAGGTTGGGAAAAAAGTGTACTCTCACAAATGTATACTATCAATAGCATAAGTTTTCCTTTTTTGCACACCTTATTCGCCTTTTAGGCTATACGTGGATTTTCACATACCAGGGGTCCCCAGAGTGAAAAGTTCTCCCCCCGGCCTGGATGCGAACTCGTAATTATTTTATACCTTGTAAACATCGATTTATCATATGGTTGGTTGCCGGGCAGTACGCGTTTTGAATAGGCTGCTCGGCCCCCCTGCCCCCAGTGGGATGAGAACTCGTAATTATTTTACCACATTTTCTTTAGTTAATCAGTTTGTACGACGACGCGTGTTCTACACACTCATTAGCCTGACCGGTCACCCGCCCCTCGATCACTTACAGTATTAATCTAAAGGACAACTTTCTTAAGTATCCGCCCAGATAGGAGAGTGTCTAGGGACGCTCCAAGATAGAATTATGGCATTCCCTCCATCTGACTCGGGGGCAGTTGGCTGATAACTAGCTCTCCTGAATCACCTTATCAGGAAACCTCAACATTAACCAGTCGGACTGTTTGTAAATATACAACATAGTAGCTGTCAATTAAACTTCACCTTTGATTCGTTGAATGTTATACATACGGGAATTCGGAAAGATAATTTCTTGTCTCGACAAAAAGCTACACCTTATGTTATAGCTGTTATAATAGAACACTCTTTGGAACAACGTTCAATGTAGGAAAGAGGTCCACACTTCCTTTTAGGACGAAAAGGGCCAGTTTCAGAAGAAGTACCGGACAACGAAGATGATAAAGGTTATATAAAAAGAAATCAATAAGAGGTGGGTGATAATTTTGGAAATAATATTTATGTGACTGTATACAGTTATGCTACCAGTGTCAAATCCGTATTGTCTCTAGATAGTATAGCCCAAAAACGAGACCAAGATAAGTCTTAGTCTTGTGCACTCCAGTCTTTTTCTTAATCGTGGTGTTGCACAAGTGTATTGCAACAGTCTTGCAGTTAACTATTGTTGTTATATTAATTTAACAAGTTAATTAGCTTGTTGTTATAGAGATATTTTGTAATTTTTTAGAGAAGAAAAACCTAACTAAGCCCGAAGGAAATATTAGAAGTGTTAAATGCAAAAGTGTATTGGTTATAGCAATTCTTTACATACAGTAACTAAACTCTCTAGTATTATTAACTATTTTCCCTTAATTTTTATTCAAAAAATCGATTTTTTTACCGGTCTTGGTCTTGCTGTTGCTACAATTAGGCGATCTTGGTCTTGGTCTTGAAACTGCAAGACCAAGACCAATTTTGGGCAACACTACCTCTAGGCAAGACGGGGAGTAAATAAACTAAAATATACGATATGAGATCTAAAGTTTTGAAAAGCCAAAAGAAAAAATGTACGAACATGGCTGATTTATCAGATAATAAAACGATATATTTTTTACTTAGATTGTTTTATCGAATTAATACGAATATTTTCAAAGCAGTATCGCATTTTTTTTTTTTTAATGATTACTATTAGTGATGAAATAATTTTTTTATTTTTACCTTTTCGTTGGCTTTGGAACAAGATCTTACCACGGTCCATACTTCATATGCCCTCACCATAACACGATATGTCGTAATTGTGGCAAAATTTAGGGGTCTTGCATCTTTCTTAGCGACGAATACGATAAGCTTTTCAACTACATGATAAAGATTAGTCGTTGTGAGTATGAATATTCCTGAGAATATCATCAGGATCTGATGTGAGTATAAGGAGTTTATGTCTTCACATATGTCCACAAGGGTACTGTGAATTGTTGTCAGGGTGTGCAGGATTTCCAGGTTGATGTTTCTGACACCTTTTTTTGTAATTTCATTTAATTTTTTTGTCACGACAATCAATCTTTTCTGCACTACATTTAACAAAACTATAAACTGTGTTTCAACTGTATTTATAATGATTAGTGGGTACATGAGGATACATTCGACCAATATTGAATCCAATTTCCGATACATTTTAGTTATCACGAAATCGACCATGATGAGAGATAAGAGAGAGAAAAAGCGTACGAAGAGCGTCAAGTACATAGAATATCTCTCCTTGTTTTCCTGGAAATATAATCTTGAAAGATAATCATCAACAGATCCCAACGTTTCCATTACAGTCCTTATCAGCTTGACGTTGTTAATGGATTTCATCATGCACACTACTACAGTAAGGATGACCATCATAAGCTGGAACCTCTCCAACATAAGTGAAAAACCAGACAACTGATAGGAGTCGTTGACTTTTTCCATGTACACACCGACGTATAAGGCATCTCCTAATATGAGACTCAGAAAGAGAACTGTTATCGGTGTGTGGATTAGAGAAAGCCTGAAGAAGGAGTTGTAAGGAGCGATCCCAAAGATCTTCGAAATAGAAAACAGAGGGGAGGTTTCCCAGCAAACGTCGAAAGCTCTCATAGCTGGGCTTCCACTGCTGTACCCTGAGGCGGTCGACCATCTTATAAATATCTGAGGGAGGTCAAGTGTCTTTGTAGTACTGACAACAGAACGGTGCAAGCTCCACTGACTTTCCTGGCAATCATATTAGTGAAGTTCAATATATTCGATCCTCTACTGTTCTTACGATGTGCTATGTACTGTGTGTAATATACTCTATGGATTTGAAATAGTAAATGAGCCAGTCAGGTATGATGATTAAGGTTTATGCATAATGCGTTAACAAGTAAGATTGACAATGGTGAAGTTCAGTTTGTCAAAATTTGCATGGACTATTTTGTTGAATTTCATTATAAACATCTTACTAATTAATATCATTTTGTCATATAAATTTTAAAACTACCTAACTCAATTTTTCTAACTTTACAGGAGTATAAAAATCATAACTTTGTAGCGATCTCCGTTTTATAATTTATAGCAAATGTCTACCACAAATGTCTTGGAAACTTTATTGATACAATTATTCAAGTAAATAAAACATTTTCCAAAATGACTGACAAGGGAAGGTTACGGACGTCGGGTCACCGATTTCAACGAAATCTTTTTTTGTGATACTAGGTCGAAAAATATTTGACTTATATCCGAGGGTTGTTGTCAATGCGGCCCAGGAGCCGAGAAAAATAAATTGTATAAAATTTATTATTATTTTATATTAATGTTTTCTGAATTTGCTCTGCATGGATTTTTATGTTATTATATATCAATCGATATATTTTTTTATGTAAACCTAGGAGATGCTCTCGGTCCACCTAACGGCAGACCAGCTCTGAAACCATAGTCCGGGTAAATTTTTTATTTCTTTAGATATCTATATTATACATCGCGCCATACTGCCAATTTGTAACCATAATATATATTCAATTTATTCAGCTTCATATAAGCCCAACAATAATTTGAGCCTTTTATTTTCAATTTTTCATAGTTCGCCATATTATGCTTCCTTTTATAATTCATAATAATTATAATTATGTCACAATATAATAAAAATAATATTATATATAATATAATAATTAATATATTGCATTCAAGGTAAAATTAAACTACCATCTCCAGATGAATAAATACCATTTCTCGTACAAATTTTTAATTTTCGTAAAAAAAAAATATTTAAAAAAATCAAATTCGTTTTTAGCGTCCACTAAAACTCTTAAAAGTGAATTTATTTCGAAATAAAAAAATATAAATTCTTGGGAGGCCTTTTGGAAGGATTTTTTCATGCCGTTTAATAAAATATTCGTAACTCTTCAGGTAATTACCCCAAGCCAACATTACTACAACCGTTGGAAAGCTAAAGTATTGCTCTTCAAAACCAAATCAATTATTATCTAACATAAAGTATTTTATCGTCAGTTAATGTTTAACGTTACAAGTGCTAAGCCTACCATTATGCCGCATTATTTCACGAATCAGGAATACTGAGATATGATGCTCATGTGTGGATACTGTAACAGCAGCAGTACCGTATTTGACCTGCATTAAAAGCCACTTTTATCATTGACCGTAGTAGATGTAATCACTGTTTTCCCAAAGATAAATTTGTCTAATTTAAGATGGTCTAATTGGAATTTAATTTACTTGATAATTTTTTCAGCAATTCCTTTTTAATCAATAAAAAACATGACCACCTTAAGAAAAACACAAAATTAGTCTTAATTCCTTTTCCATACGGAATCGGACCATGCATCAAATGAACTTTTTTGTGGTAAATTTTATCTAGAATCACCCTCCAGAGTTGGCCATTAAGAACTGAGACAAGAGAAAAAATTTTATAGGGTTGATAGCAGAACCCAACAGCTACAAAAAGGGTTAATATAAAACAATTGGCCATTTTTCAGCAGAAAAGTAGGAAATCCAAGTTTTTTATTTTTTTTAAGTAAGGAATTAAAAATTGCTTCACTGCCAACTAGAACTTTTGAGCGACTAAACTAAGCTCTGGTTTTAAGAAAATTATTAATAATTGATTTTTTTTTTTTTTATTGTCATCCAACTATATTATAGACACTCCACTTTTAGAAAAACTCCCTCGTTTAATACGCATCAAGTCCATATTAATTAAGTTGAGAGTTAGTAAGCAAAAACTTGAGATTCACCTTAAATTGATAATTGAGGTATAAAATAATAAAATACTTTTATTAAAAAATTAGACTTCCAAAAACATAGAAATCAGATTCAAGAATTTCATAATATATCAAAAATGTTTAGGATGTAAAATAAAATTATTATAAATAGACAATGTTATACATGCACATATCATCTGATTTTTTTTTCAGAATTATTCACTCTTGCTGTACATTTTGAAATGCATATTAAAATAAAATTTTTACATGTTTACTCTTGACCAAATGGATATCCTGTAATCAAAGAAATAAACATCTTGGGACGACTATTAGTGAAGATACAGAATTGAAAAGACAATAATTTTTTTAAATTTAAATTGATTTTATTTTACTATCATCTAAATTCTAGATTGTTTATATTAAGCATCGTTCATTTATAACAATTTGAACGTAGAATACGAATCAAATGTCAGACTTTACTTTATCTCAGCAGAAAAAGGACATATCCTTGGTTTTTATTTTTAAAAACCTGAGTTATAAAAAATTAGAAAATGTCCATTTTTTCCCTAATAAAAAATATTGGGATTTGATAACTACAATTTCTCTATGCATTTACGTTGTGACCCGATTCCTTAAATATTGTAATTTACTTATGACGTATCCTGTATATTTTATTGACTTTTTTATCATTATGATTTTTTTATTATTATTATTTACTAAATTTACAACTATTAATTTAATATATATTCAGCATATGTGAAACAGATAAATATATGACATGACAAGGCTTGTAGAGAATCTACCCATTGGTAACAATCTAATTATTATGATTTAATAAGTAATTCAAAAAGATTATAAGAACCATCATAAATAGTCAAACTACGTAAAATCCTTGTTTCTATAGAACATGACTATTATTACTATAAAATTTTCGCATTGAGCAAATATGGTTGAGAAAACATAAGAAATACAAACTACGATCTTTGTCATACCTTAACACTAACCATGTGACAGATGTGTATGACATTTAACGCAAGTAAAATATACAGCATAACCCATCCCAGATACCATATAATAATGGGAATAACAAATGTACTTTTTCCTGACTGGAATTGTTTTATAAGATAGAAAAAGTATATGACTACAGTACACATTGAGGATGCGATAACGCTGAAAATTTGAAATGAAAATAGAGAATTGATAACTCTGGAAAGCTGCCACAATTCCTTGTAAAGGGAAGTTAAAAAAATCAACTTATTCCGCGTTGGGCTAATTGCAGCCGTCAACATTGAAAAACGCTCACCTAGAAGATTGATCAAGAAAGAGAAAAACAAAATCGTTGCGATTATTGGGAGAGTAGGCACGATATGAAAAAAGAAATAATATGCAGGGAAAAAGGAAGCAGCCATTGCTACCATGACAGACGTAACCGCTAGCAATTGAGCCAACATGAACCCAAAACCGACGGTGTTCTTGCATTTGATACCCATTCTCAACAGAGAACTGTCTATAGACAAAAATGCTATCATCATCCTGTTCAATTTTTTTAGTTTTAAAAATGACCAGATGAAATTTAATGGCAGAAGGCTGTGAGTGCAGATTACATGGAGTACGAAAAGAAAATATATGAGTGGTAAATAAAAATTGGACAAAGAAGTCCGATGGTACAACAGAGTCAGCAAACCAAATATCTGCAGAAGTGAGAGGACCACCTTCAGCCAGTTGAGAATAAAAACGGGACCTGCAATGGCGACCGGAAAAGCCGCACAGTACCGCATTAGGAGACTGTACCTGGCCACACTTACTCCTAAATCCACTGCCATACTTTCTAGTGACTAACCATTAGAAGAGGGTCTTTCGATATTGATTAATATAGGCCAGGGCTGCCGTGAGGATTAGCATCGATTTCTTCCTAATGCAGATCTATGATAAATAATGAAAGGTAGCTATTATCAGCCAAAGATGACAAAATACATAGTTCAAAATATTCAAACATAACTATATCATATAAACACAACACACATTCAAATAGACTTCTCTGTTCTGTCCCTCTTTGGATTGCCTAATCTGATGATACACATTTTCAGGTTGTTTTGATTTTAAAACAATTAACAACTAAATTTAACAATTAATTTATTATTATTATCAATAAGTTTCAATTTAAATTATAATTTCACAATATGATACAGT